CGGCTTATCATCCTACTGCAATTTTAAATAAGCTTGTCTTTTTGTGTATTTTCCGTTTTTACTTTATATCGTCACATTTTGAAAATTCAACAAAGAATATTATATACTGTCACTGCTTCAACGTTATGTTTATTTTACAATAATTCTGAACAAATATTTCATTTTTTGTATGAAAAATATTTATAATTTTCATTCACATAATGACTGAAATGTATGCTTAAGATAGTATAATAAAATATATCTGTTCCGGCGTGTTCAATTTTCTTTAGCCATTTCAAATTCCTTTAAATATTTATATATGTTCTTACGAATAATTAATTAATTAAAAACCATTTCAATAACCTGCGACTGGATAATGTTGAAAACTATGTTTCGTGACCGTTGCTTTAGGAGTCACAATATTGGATAATGCTGCTTTGGTTTGTTGATGCCAGGAACCATGTCCATGAGACGGCACAATCAAACCGAGCTTGCAACAGTTTAAATTTTGCCGTTCTGGAAGGTATTTTGTTTCTCTCTAGGTCTATAAACAGCGGGATAAAGATTTGCAAATAATGACATAATTGATGACAAAAAGTCAACTTATGCCATAAACACACCAAAAACAAAAACAGGGGAGATCATACTGAGTGGATCCGATTTGCGCAAACGACAATAAGCTGCATTTAATTTCTCTGAAACAAAGTAAACATAAAAGCAAAAACAATGGTGTTTACTTTACTGGAAGTTGGATTAATTAAAAATCTTTTTCAAGCAGTTTCATTTACTAACTGATATCTTCAATATTTTGTAAGGAGATACATTAGATGGTCTTAGATTGAAGTTAATATGGTCAACAGTGCAAGAATTAGATCTTTACACTTTTTTTTACATACAGCCATTATCTATTCACAGATGTCTGCAAATACCTTGTCAATGTCTTTTTTTTCTTTATATTTGATTAACCAAATTAGATATTAACCACCTTCATTAAATTGCAATGATATGGCAATTTACATTTTTCTCTGACATAAAAAGGTCATGACTCTGAATGCACGGTCATTTTTCTATTTTAAATCCTGAACAAAACTTATTTTCTGAACAAGATCATTTTGGAAATGAACGAGCACAAAAAAAAACAGCAAACGAATTTATTTATTTACGGATTTAAATTTTTATCACTGAAAAAAAAAAAAAAAAAATAAAAACAAAAAACAAACAAAACAAACAAACAAACAAAAAACAACAACAACAAAAAACAAAGAAAATAGGATCAGTAATTTAAACTACGTGTACAAAATATGACAAAATACTTCAGAAAATGGGAAAAGCTACGCTCCCTTCGCAGCTCACTGAATACACTCGCGTTACTTCAGACAGTGAGCGATAGTGGAACATTCGACCGATGCGCAGGAGAGTAGGGAAAAGCATGAAACTGTACACATATGTTAATTAAGACAAAAGAAACATTTTGGACATGGAACCCATTTTGTAAATGCTATGACAAAACACTATGAAATATTTCTATTATTTTTTAACATTTCAATTTTTGTTTTATTATAAAGCTTCATAATCAATTATTGAAGACCACTGTTACATACGGACAAGGGCCATCAGTCATGACATGTGCCGCCGGAGACCCAAAAATCATTAACAGGGCAAAACACATTTTTTATTCAAGGCTGAAAATCATTCAGCCGGAAAACCCAAGTAATATGTGCAAGTTATAGCTACCAATTAATCCTGTAAAGTTTCATTAAAATTGTATTATTGGTCAGGACAAATTTTAAAAATTATTATCATTAAAGGGACATTACTCTGACAATAATCATAAAATCGAGAAACATTCATGAGATGCACAATTAGACATAGTGACATAGTATTGATTATTCCTGTAAAATTCCTGATGAAAATGCAATAGTTTCCAAAGAGTAGTCAAAACAAGTAGCTTACAACACAAAAAACATCTTTTGTATTGAAGGGCCATAACTCTGCCAAAAAAGTGGAAAACCTGTATTATTTGCGCAAGTACATGACCTACTAATCAATATTGTTAAGTTTCAATGAAATTGCATAAGTGGTATAAGAGGAGTATTTCGGAAAAAAGTTATTACCACCCTTTGATTAAAGGGCCATAACTCCGCAAAATCATTCAAGCAGAAAACCCATATAATATGCGCAAGTACTTGAGCTACCAATCAATCATGAAAATTTTCAATGAAATTGCATTAGTAGCATAAGAGGAGGCGTCCAGACAAATTTTGAAAATAACAAGAAATGTCGAACGACATATATGCCCCCCTTACTAGACTTTGATTCACATTATTGGTAATTTTGTTATAGATACTTGCCATAAATCGATACATGGAAGTGTTCAGTTATTGAAAAAAGAAAAATAATAACATACTAGTTTTAACCAATTAATATATGAACAAGAGCTGTCGGTAGGACAGCAACGCTCGACTATTCTTAGTGCTTGATAGTAAAAAAAATGCTTGATACAGTTACCTCCTCCTGTTTACAGGTTGGGGTCTTGATGGTGAACAAGTGTGCAAAGTTTCAAAGCCATATGTCAATGGACTTTGAAAATATTTGAACTATTACAAAAACTTTAACATAAATTCTAAGTCGAAAAAGGGGCATAATTCTGTCAAAATGCTTGATAGAGTTACCTCCTCCTGTTTACAGGTTGGGGTCATGATGTTGAACAAGTGTGCAAAGTTTCAAAGCCATATGTCAATGGACTTTGAAAATATTTGAACTATTACAAAAACTTTAACATAAATTCTAAGTCGAAAAAGGGGCATAATTCTGTCAAAATGCTTGATAGAGTTACCTCCTCTTGTCTACAGGTTGGGGTCATGATGGTGAACAAGTGTGCAAAGTTTCAAAGCCATATGTCAATGGACTTTGAAAATATTTGAACTATTACAAAAACTTTAACATAAATTCTAAGTCGAAAAAGGGGCATAATTCTGTCAAAATGCTTGATAGAGTTACCACCTCCTGTCTACAGGTTGGGGTCATGATGGTGAACAAGTGTGCAAAGTTTCAAAGCCATATGTCAATGGACTTTGAAAATATTTGAACTATTACAAAAACTTTAACATAAGTGGTTACGCCGACGCCGACGCCGACGCTCGGGTGACTGCAATAGCTCTACTTATTCTTATCGAATAGTCGAGCTAAAAATAAAAACATGAACCTTTGAACTTGTGACCCCATTATGACTAATAAATATGTGAAATATGATGACTTTGTGATATAAAGTTTTCAAGGCAATTAGCGGAAACCATATTTACATTTAAGGCCCCTGTGATCTTGACCTTTGAACCAGTTATCCCAAAATCAATAGGGGACATCAACTACATATGGCTTTTCAATATGTGAAAGATAAAGACTTTGTGATAACTAGCTTTCTTGGTAATGAGTTATGACCAATCAATATGTGAAATATGAAGACTTTGAAATAAATAGTTTTCAAGATACCTGTAATAAGCGGAAACCATTCTGACATAAAAAGACCCCGGTGACCTTAACCTTTGATCTAGTAACCATAAAGTCAATAGGGGTCATCTACTAGTTATGACTAATTACTATGTGAAATAAGAATACTTTGTGATAAATAGCTTTCAAGATAATGACCGTAAACTATACTACCATTCAAGGTGCCTGTGACCTTGACCTTTGACCCCAAAATTGATATTGGTCACCAACTAGTTATGGCCAATCAGTATGTGTAATATGAAGATATTGTGATACATTTTTTCAAGATAATCAGCAAAAATCAGTCTTATATCTTAGGTACCTGTGACTTTGACCTTTAACCTAGTTACCCAAAATCAATAGCGTTCATATACTAGTTATGGCCAGTCAGTATGTGAAGATACCAGCCTAGTCTTACAGATACTGATTTTTTCATTTGAAATTGTTTTGAATAGTTACAAAATTCAAATATGTATGTAAAGGTTACAGGTTATATACAGAATTGTAAGAAATCGAGTGCATTATGTTAAAAGACAGAGTCCATTAAATCATTTAATGTATAAATTCTTAATTTAAAACATGCAGTTGAGTTACAGCACTGTATGCTAAATATTTCGGCAAAATTAAAACAAAACCTTGTCCGATCTTCTTAATGCTACCAATGTGCAAGGATTGCTGCAGAGAAAGGTACATAAGATTTTAATGATTAGAAGGTGCATGTGTGCTTGTTTTCATAAATTCCTTTACCAAAATATCATTAAACAAAGTGTACATATAGATGGATGCCATTGCAGCTTTCATTTAATTAACAACATTATTAAATACAACATTTTCAATTTTTTGAACATATTTTTTCCAAATAATTTACTAATAATTAGTTACAGTTTAAATATAGTAATTGATGGATAACGAAAATATTAATTCGAATATTAAGTCCTCTTTCGTTTTTGGTCGGCTGCAATCAGGGTACCCTGTTGGCGTGCCCGGGTTGTTTCTGAGTTGCCTTCTGTGAACATTGCCTTGCCTTGTTGATTGTTGTTCTCAGTTTTATAAATATATTTAAGAATCTTGTTAAAATCAGATTTGCCTTAAACAAAAACGTATATATGTTTCTTTAAATAAGACTTAAGCTATAAGTTTCAATACATTGTCTCATCTTATTTTTACATATATGTATATTTAACGTTTTAACTGATAGGTTTTAACTAATTTTCCCCTCCTCATTATTATATTGGAAAAAAATATCAGTTGAATTTTCTTTTTCTGAAACAATTTGTTATATAAAATTATAGATTAAGAATTAGAACGTCCAGTGCATGATTTGGCCTACATACACTATACATTTTAAATACTCTATTTAGATAATAATAATAATAATAATAATAATAATAATAATAATCAAATAGAATATTTGTATTTGATATATATAGTCTGCCAACAAGTGTTTAGATTAATAGATTATAGATTATATTATTGTTTATAGATTATGCTTACTTCTTTGTAAGACCAAATTAAGTTAATTGAATTAATTTCAGATGGAAAAAAAAGTTTCATTCGCTGCAAAAATAGTCAAGACACAGACTTTATTGGCGGACCGTTATTCTTATGGTAAAAGAAAAAGAAGGGTAGTGTTTAGTGAAGTGATATATAGTCATGGCGGAGGCTACAGCACCCGTACAGGAATCTTCAGAGCACCAAAATCTGGCATATATTTGTTTATATTTGACGTGCAACCGTTCGATTCTGGTTATGTATTGATGCATAATGAGAAGGTCCTGGCACGCCCAACGGCTAATAAAGCGGTTATAGGAGGAAATGTAGGAATTTCATATTTGACAGCTGGTGAACAAGTTTGGGTACAGAATGATGGAAAATTTGAGTACTTCATAAAAGTTTTTAATGGGAGATTCAGTGGCATTTTAATTGACTGAAATAAAAAAATATGAAATAAAATATTTTATGATATATGCTTATGCTGGTATATAAATCTAAAGTATTATCTAGTGATTGTGGTGGGATGTTTTATGACTGATGCAATCGCAGTTATTACGTTGTTTGTTTGATAACATTTAGTATGCGTGTTTGTTTTGATTTCTCGGCACATCCTATATGCAAAGGCATGTACATGTAATACATTTGTTTTAACCCATCCTAATCTCAGCCTCCTCACCAGTTATAGCATTTTATCAAGTTTTCGTTTCTGCCTATGATGTTATCAATATATATAAAAGATGTTTTATATAATGCCAGAAATGTGTTTCACTGTATTGTAATTTTGGTGTAGACACAACTAAATTATATCATATGACTTTTTTATACTTTTACTTTGCAAGAAAAGTTCTCATAGACATACCCAAAATTTCTCTTCATTGCGAATCTAAACAAATTATCAATATTTAAATTAAAGTATACTGATAATTCTGATTATATAAGAGTACTATTACACCAGGCACATCCAGTCTGATATGCAAATGCAATTTGAACATAATACTAGACACCGTAAAGGTCAAATGGCAAATGGCGGTTTTCAAGATTTGCTGGTAGAGAAAACCCTCAGGTGATATCAGGAATTATTAAAATATGATTAAATGTCTACTTTATTTAAGATGTTTGAAAAAAAAAGTATATTTGTTTTTATCAAAGCTCACCAGCAGGCTTGATTAAAACGAACGTTCATTATTTTCAATTTTAAAGTGTTTAATGACCATTTAAGTTTCCATGTTCCATGTCGGTGGTAATGTGTTGCTGGTGTTTGTTAGGGATGTGTTCATTGAATGCCACCTCTCTTGCTGATCTTTGTTTTCATATTTTTATAAGCGTAAAATTCATCAAATCAAGATTGCAATTTTCCCCATTGTTTTTGTTTTGTTTTATATAGTTCTCGAATGTGTTCTCCTTTTCAAAGTGTTGATCTGATAAACTCGACTGCCCTTAAAGTTTTTCTTTCCTTTTCTGTTGTTGTAATTTTCATATTATTGCGAGTTTATAGTTCATGTTTATTTCATTGCCTTCATGGAACCGCGCCTTTTCAGATTATATCTTATTATTATATAGGTAATACACTTACATTACATTTGTATTTTAACTTTTATCTTACATGATACGTTAGTCTTTCATATGTCGATGTCAAAAGATATTATTTTACTAACAATTTTGACATGTTCATTAAATACAACAAACGACTAGATTCATTTTTGTAGTATATCTTAAGTAATCAATTGATCTTACAGAAAACTGTCCTACTCGTGCATTACAACATTTTAATTGTGCGATTCACTCGTAGTATATGTACATCAAAATAGTGAAAAGCAAAATACAATTATTTTTTTTACTTACGAAATGTTCCGTCTAAGCACAGTCTGTGCGTTTTGCATAGCTTAAATCAGGCTCACAAGTATAAAAATTTTGTTATATACAGAAAATATTGAATGTGTGTAGATTCAATACTGGATTTATTGAACGACTTTTATAAAAATATATTATGCGAGTCTTTGGCGAGCATAATATTACTAGTACTTTATTCAACGAGTTTAATAAATTTAGTAATGAACCTACACGAATGAAATCTTCTGTTTATCACCCACGCTAAATTAAAGACTGTTTAAAATGAAAAAGGATCATTTGCCATGGGCGTGCCTATAGAACGCTAGCATTTGGTTCGTCATTACGCTACAGTATCTTTGTATAACGCAAATGACGTAACGTAAAAATAAAAGCACGGTCGTGCGATACAATTGACTTAAACATATAAATAAAACAGTATGATATTTGATTCACAAATCGACTGTAATATATACCTTAAAAAGTGGACAATAATATAATCGTCCGCTTAGTGCTTATCTTTCTTTAGCCATAATATATCTCTGTACATATCTAAACACATTGTATATTGTATTTACTTATGAACTGACCAATTTATTTAAACATCTATGTATTTCTACGAGCTGTGTCTGAACATTGTCGAAGACGCTAATACATTTTTAATCTTGGTATTCTTATGTTTGGAAAATGCTGCAATGGATTGTTGTTGTTTTTTACTATAGAATAAAACGGGATAAAGATGGCAATATAATTTGTCCGATCTTATTCGATTCTATGACAATGCCATGCACTCACCAAGAAAATAATAGAGGAGAAATGATGCAATGGAGTGTTTTTCTATAGAATAAAACGGGAATAAGAATGCAATACAATTTGTCCGATCTGCAAAACCAACACATACTCTATGGCAATATCATGCACTCATCCAGAAAAATAATAGAGGAGATAATTTAGAGATGTGAAATGTTCACAACTGACATTAAGCTGCAATAAAATCCTGTTAAAACAAAAACTTAAAAGAAAAAGGACAAAGTTGATTGCTTTAAAGAATAAGTAAACGACCTTTACCGATAGTACAGATAACCTAAGAACAATTAAAATACTGAATTGATTTCAAAGAATTTTTGTATATCAACCTTTGCCAATATAACTATACATTGTAGATTGTTTTTCATAATGTTTTAATCATTTGTAAAATGTTAACATTATAACATTCTGTTATATCAGAATCTTAGTCTTTCCAAAATAACACTACTACAACAGTTTGAGTGTGAAAAAAAACAACTAGTACCGCTTTAACGAGATTCGCTGTGACAAGTTCTGTATGTTTAAAATGCTTTTCTGCTTCGTGCAAATTCATTGTAAATGTTTGTTGCTTTCTTTGCTTGTATACAAAACAACAGGTACATTTATATATTAGCGCAACCATTAACGGAATCCAAACCACCTATTATAATAAAAAAGTAGTGTAAATTCAGTGTGATCAAAACACAAAAAAAATATGATTACTTTATACAAGTTAAATATCAAGATCTTGAAAACATATAAAATGCTTCTTTAATTAAAAATGCTTTAAAAACGCATTAAAATGAGTCTACATAATTTGTGTTTATCCCTCTGTTAAAAGTTTACCATGCTTTTAACATTTTGCTGAATTAAGGACATTTATTCATTCAGGATAAATTTATGTTATTAAAAAAAAGTTCTTAGTTATATTTCAAAATTTTATGAGATCAGCTTGAAACTATGTAGAATTAGATATGTTTGGAAATATAAAATTAGAAGCCGCTAGCAGGCTTAGAACTAAAGATAAAAGTTAACACAAAGTGACAAAGACTATACGAACTGGAATACTATATCCAAACATCCAAACAACTACCCTGCAAATTATCTGTTTGTTGAATCAGTTTTCTTCTAAATTGAACCATGAAGGAAAAGTAGAGCACCGAATTGTGAGAGAAATAATCTGTTTAAAACTAGAACAGTTTTAGAACATTATGAGCATGTTTTGTAGAAATCACATGAGGAAATATTAAGAAAATGTAGTTCACAATCACTTAACAAAATGAAATGGAGACAATGGATCTCTTCATAACCTTTTTTCAAAAAACATCCTCCAAATAAACCCAGGAAACATTAAACTTGTTCATAGCGTTAAGATTATCATTTGAATTTTATCCACAAATGTGGAGATCGGGCGCGTGAAACGCAAATACAAAACTAGATAGTTTCTTAAAGAATGAAGTTAAAATAAGGATTTGTACTAAAACACACAATCTTATAAAGTGAAGTAAAAACTTAATCAAGTTAAAACCCAACCAAAAGGTGATTGAGTAAAATCATTTATATAATATTTTGTTCCAGAATTATTTATTATCTGCTATATATAAATTTATCATATCGGATTAAGAATTTCACATTTACTAACAGCATTCAGATATAAGTCGTTTGTGATTTGTTGTTAGATGCACATTAGATGTAAAATAGTTAATACTATCAATATGATTATCTATGATTATGGACTCTCTACTTTAATTAAACTATTTTATTTGACTTGCATTGACATAGAATTGTAATAGTTCTGTAATGTATAGTAATAAATCAACTTAAGAAATGAACAATAATGATTTTTATTTTTATTTATTTATATATTGTATAGTAATCATGTCCGAAAACAGAACACAAACGAGATTCTACGTGTTTTTGACAAGAGAAATGGTCGTGATTTTGCAATACATATTATAAGGCACAACCGATCATTTGTTATGAAAGTAAGAATGTCAAAATGTCATTTCACGGCTGTTATTCTCATAAACACATCATTCTTTCACTTGTGCGCAAAACTCAAAAACAATAACAGCAAAAATAAACAAGGAAAAACAATACTGTAGAATAATTGTTTGAAAAAATAAAGAAAAAGCCATTATATAGATATAGATGAAAAAAGGTAAGTGACTTTTCACAATTTTGCTTCACCTTTACTTTCCGAGTAAGACAGTAAGGTCCACTTTTCATAACTACACAAAGTTTTACGCAATCTTAGTCATTTTATTCGTACTTTCTGAATCAGGTTGTAAATATTCATAAATATAAGCATTATTCTATCAGAGTGCTGCTTTTTATGTTTGGTCTTTTATATAATAAAGGAGTAATTAACAGGAATCATATAAAACAACTGCAATCAAAAACAAGTATCAAATTAATACCACATGATGGTAATCTAAACATTGCAAGCAGAACAATATTTTCTCAAACTTGGCTACAAGTTTTCTCTTTAACAAAAGATATAAGTCAATTACACCAAGGGGAGGAATCACGCCGTTCGTTACCCAAACAAACAAGATGGCGGATGCAGCCAAAAAGTAGGTTTTTCCCTTTTTTCTCTGAAATTCGTGATGTTCTTGTGTAAAGGTACATATTACAACCTTCTCCACAATTTTCCTGGCACACAGAAATTTATTTCATGAAGTTTCGTCCCGTACTTCTTCTGAAATGCGCGTCACCAGATTCGAAGCGAGAGAATTTTCCACCGGTTTGATCGTGGTAACGTACGGCTTTTTCTCTAAATTTCACTGTTTTGTTTACATATATGTATATTAACTGAAATCAC